TTATCCTCAGATATTACAAACATGTGCAGAAATGGGATCTGTGTGATAAATATTGTCCCCAAAACGTTATCGCACGACCTTCCAGGTTGTCGAGATAAGATGTTGAAATTAGGTCATCATCAAGATTGAGTTAGCCGCCATCTGAATTCTCAGAAATTCGCAAAGTTGCGCAAGTAGCAACCAAGCTAATTTGGCTCTGCTAACTACATGAAACTAGTTACATAGATGTCCGTAAAAAGCTCGCGGCACTTGATATCGCAGGGTCCCATATAAGTAGCATACGGATGGCAACTCAACCACACGCATCCAATCAAGTGAAAGCGTCTTCTATATAGTGCATTCTTCTATATTGCATGCGTCGTGTGTGTAGCACATGTTTACATGATTGTGGCATATAAACACAGCAGCTTTTGACGTTGGTACCCTTGCAATGGTATTAGAAGGCAACGAGCGACATATATCGATGAAAAGAGGTGTTTTTCGTCCTTCGTGATCATCTTTGAGCTTTTAACTCAATTTGGCATTGAATTTGGCCCCATACGTGAAAATAACTGCAGAAATGGAATCCTTGTCATAGAAACTTACTCAACAAAGATGTCATACGATCCTCTAAGCCACATGTTACGTTTGCATGCATGTTAGGTTTCGCGCCACATCTCGGCACAGTGCACATATAAGCGTGAAATAATTTTCCCAACTATCACAACTGCTATGGGTACAATTTCATTGTGCACTGCGAGTATGTGCGACTTACGCCTGCGCTGCAACCTGCAAGGCAAGTTGCAACTGGTGGCATTTCAAAGTTGGACGAGGGGCAAAGTTGGGAAAAACGCCGAATCTAAGCCACTTCCGCCAAATCGTTAAGAATTAAGTGGCGATAACTACATGAGCATGTTGGCTGATTCATGTTTTCTCTTTGCCATCCTTTTGTTGATCTTTTTTATCCGTCATATTTTGCTCCCAAATGGGCCTAGAATAACGTGATGCATGACGGCTATTCTACGCCGCGACGGAACGGTGCTGCTCCGTTCCTCGTGCGTTCACGTTTTGTGCTACATCTCGGCACCGAGGACATGGACGCATTCCGGAGTGGCGCTCTTCGATAAAGAATGGAGTGGGCAAGATGGTGATGATTGGTCACACGTGTCATGAGCCATGGCGTCCACGTGTTGAAATATGGATTTCACCACTTTCGACGGATTTACACCTTTTTGCGACGTCGAGGCATGCAGGACTTGGAACGACCCGAGAGTCGCACGCTTCGATAGGGTATCGAATGTAAGTGTGTCCTTCCAAACGGTTTGGCCCCATGCACTTCGTGCCACGCCCACACGTGCTGACAATATGGATTTTTGGGCTTACGCCCATTTTCACGTTTTGCACCATTTCTCGGCACTGGTTACGAAGCGATTCGGATGTGGTATGCGCACAATAGTGAATCCAACGGTCCATTGGGTGGTGCTAAGTTTCCAATCACACGGGCCACATGTCGCGCCTCCACGAGCTGGCAGGATGGATTTCGCTTTTTCAACGGTGCTCACGTTTTTTGCCACATCTCGGCGACACAGGAATAGTACGCATTGATAGAGACTGTAACTGGAAGTCGTCTGCGGAGAACATGAGGTTACACGTGTCACGTGTCATGTGTAGCCGTGCTGGAAAACGGATTTTGCGTTTTGACGAGTGTGCACGTGATATCTTTGCACCCAGGGAACGAAGCGACCAGGGATTAGCATGCTTCGATGGGCAATGTAACGGGCAATCACGTGGTTTAACATGCAATGTTGCACGTGTTATGCTTCACGAGTGCACCAGCTGTGAAGATGCAGCTTTCCGATTTCGTCGATTTTGCGTTTTCCGCCACATCCCCGCACTAAGGGTACGTAGCGACGCGGTACTGGCATTCTGCGATCAGAAATTCAACGGACGGCCGTGTATTTTCAATTGTGCGTGCGCACGGGTCACGTGTCACACCCACACGCTCTCTCATGTAAAAAGCAGTGTTTAATTTAACATAGCGTCGTAGCCTCCTGAAGGGACTGGGCGCACGCAAGACAATTTTTGTTCTAATTTCCCAGAGCGAGCAGAAAATTATTATTACAATAAGCGCTCTTTGAAAAATGCAGTGAATCGCTGAAATTATCGCTGAGTCGATGTCTTTGTTGCGGACTCACCTTTCCTGGGTTGATGACTTGGTGAAGGAGAGGGAAATGCCGAAAATATTTAAAACGTTAAGACGCAAAGAATCCCTCCCCCACCCCCACCCCTCTTTTCATGCCAGGTTCCTCTGTTCCACTAAGGGAGGCTCGCCCCTCCATGTTGATGTTTCGTTACCTGCGCACGTGCCGACTGAAATCCATTACGCGCGTGTTCCTTACCGTGTTGCGGCAACCTGGAACCGCACGACCCCGACCGCCACTGTGTCTTCATCTGTGAGGAAGTGAAAACTTGCGTTTTAAGACGCAAATGCTTGACATACTCCCAGGTTCTAACACCGTGTTGGTGATCTTTGTTATACGCCCATAGGCAGGTTGGTATGTAATCTTCGCATATTAGTTACCCTATGCACTTACAATTTGCTTTCACTTATTATTTTATTTGTGATTTGGGTTTGGTCCACGCTGATGTGTCAAAACTTCAGGTTTATGAGAGCTATCGCTTTATTTTTTCGCATTTTATCCTATCTGACGTCATTGTGCTGTAACGAGCCACACATGTCAAACGCTGCAACTAACCAAAGACCTGAAAAGACACCTCGTGGATGGACTTGGTGTAAACACTGTTATAAATACTTCGGATGATATCTTAGAGGATGATGATATTCCACATATCAAAATCTAACTTTCTGTCCATGCAGATTACCGGCTTTTTCCATGTGTTATGTTTCTGGCGTTCATTGAAATGCAGATCTAGATTTTCATAATGACGCAGAGGTCTTTGTTTCTAGGCTAGATCTCAGCTCACCCCTTGCATGATATTTCTGGACCGGATCAGTCCTACGTTTGCTGGCTGGTGAGTACATCTGTCAGGTTATCCTGTTTGCACTATTATTGTATTGCTGGCGGGATCCAATGATTGTTGGCAACTCATTCACAATATTTATGGAGGTCCTCCCAAGTTAGGGAGGGTATGTCTGTTTTTGGTGAGATTTTGTTTAGCACGAATTTTCAACACCCGTAAGTTGAACCCATCGGGTGTTAAATCCGCTAGTTTCATTGCGAAATGTTTTGAGGCGCGCAAAAGAGTTTAGTTAGTTCCCCTGGCCATACTCGGCTCCGCACCCATGCTTTGTTGTTATACCTTAGTATGCATCCCTTATCACAAATCATGCTTGTTAGCCCATTTGGTCTTTTGTCGGGGAGATTTCCCTGTGTGACGGTGGGCTCCCGAATTCGAACTACGGGGTGGAACAGAATTTCAGAACTCAAAGTGTTGCAACTCTAGTCCATAGTCACTCCGAAGCATCAGATAACGCCATTAGCGCGCACGTTTTCGGCCAAGAACCTCACGTCAGCAGATCGCAACAGAAAGAGAGAGAGCACATCCTCCGCCACTGAAGATGTCTGAAATGAGGCGTGTTTACGGCTCAGCAGGGGACCTCAGTTTGGTCCTCTTTGACAGTTTCATTGTAAAGGGGGCACAAATGACTCCCAGTTAGTGACAGGAAGCTCCCATCATTTCTCTTCTCAAGAAGGAAGAGTCAACGCATGAAGAGCAGCGAAAGCTGCACGAACCACAAGAGCTCTTTCATCACAATACAGTACTAATGGATTTGAACGGAATGCAACGCCAATACGAAAGTTGATGGTGGAGAGCGGCGCAGAATCAGACAACGGACAAATACATATTTTCTACCACTTTATGCGTATTTCCACTGCAACATGTCAAATCATATTTTCCAATCCTTCGACAAACAAGAAAATTCAATTAACATAAACCATGAGTAGTCTTCCCTCCTACTGAAAAGATCATGCAGTCGCCACGTGCCAGCAAAGAAGTGTTCAAGCCACGAACTGCATGCGGGCAACGCAACTCAAAACATAAAATATCACTTTTTGTACTTAGATTGTGCCAAACACTTCATGTTAGCAGGAACTCTGTCGCTGTTGTGGGTCGCTACAGCCGGTAACTTCGGCTCAGTGACTGCGATGCGAGACAGTGCATGCGGTGTCACAGTTCAGCCAGCGACTTCCTGTAGGTACTGCTGGGACGGCTGTCTGTCTTGACTCTGACATCATTGGGCTTCATCACAATTTCCCTCGGCCTTCGCACTCCCGTGGGGTAAAGTTCCCCTGGTCGGGAACGTCTGGGCCACGTGACTCACTCGCGACGGGCCGTCAGCCTCACAGTCAGGATAGCGTCTACGCCAGCCTCGCGGCAGGTAGCGTCTACGCCATGGTCGCAGCTTTCTGACCAACTGGAACGTACGTCGCTTGGTACACACAGGCTTTGCGAAACTTTGAATGTAACTTCTGGAAAAAATTGTAGCGCGTCGGCCTGTTGTTGGACTTAGTTTCAGCAGATTGACGAGATCCAGACCATTTCACAAAACTGTTTTTGCCACTTGTTTTAATAAACAAACCAGTAGTAACTTAATGTTCGTCATGGTAGGCATGACATTGTGACACCCCTCCCAGAATATTCTCGTGCATTGTATACAGCTCGTGCTTGCGTCCAATGCAGGCTCGCATCCAGGTCCTGCTGACCTCTGCCGCTGTGTGGGTCACAGTGCAGGACAGCGCTGGTGAAGTGACTCACAACCGGTCTGGCGCCGTCAACTTCCCGACCGTGACTGACTCTGGTCTGACTCAAATGTCCGGGCGTTGTGACACTGCGGTTTGCCGGTGGCTGGTGCGGTTATGGGTATCGGCGGCGACTCTCTGGCCACTAAGGTGGGATTGTCACGTCTGGACAGCGCCAGCAGTGTGCCGTATAAAAGCCTGCCACCGAATGTGACCGGCACCACTGCCCAACAGTCCACGGGAGAACAACAAGCAACAATGCATCTGGTGAGTGCGCCTATTGGCAATTTGATGATCGTGGCACAGGCAATCATCTTTCGTCCAGTTCTTGCACGTGCTTAATAATGCTGACAACAAGGCGACTAAGGAAAACGGTGTCGCAGCAAAACCTTAGGTGATGTTTTTGCAATGCAAGACTTTGCTTGAAGTACTTGAAGCAAACGGGCACGGAAGGGCATCTCTGTTTTCATAGCAACGGATGGAAAACCATGTGTCAACGTCGTGAAGTACGCGTTACTTGAGAAGCGAATGTAGCGAAGATACCTGATTTTTAAACACAGGACTTAAATGACAGAATAGCCGCATGGCTGGCTAAGTCCATGCCCTATGCTATGTCCTGCTATGGCCATCTCCTTTGTTTGTAGCTATGTCCAGCTTGCCAAATCACACTCCGGTACCTTGCTCTTGGTGTAATGCTCGTTCTCACTCCGTGTATCTCCTCGGACAGCTGGTGGCCGCCTGTCTGGCCGCACTGGCCCGTGCCGACGGCCCGGCCCCTGCCGACCCACACCAACTGCCGGCTGCCCACACGGCCGGGGAGCACGGCCGCTACGCCCACTACGCCATCGTCAGCCAAGAGCACATGCAGCCGGGCGACGGCTCGTACCAGTCGAGCTTCCAGACGGAGAACGGCATCTACCGTGCCGAGAACGGCAGCCCCCGACCCGGCTACGGCGCCGGTGAGCACGGCCAGCCCGCCGGCGGCTACGTCCACCAGGGCAGCTGGAGCTACACCGACGACTACGGCCAGCCGGTGAAGGTGGACTTCGTGGCCGACGAGAACGGCTACCGGCCCAACAGCGACATCCTGCCGACACCTGTGCCGACCCAGTACCCGCTGCCCGTGGTGCCTCAGGTGTACCAGGGCGAGGGGGCTTACGGCCCGGCTGCGTCCAGTCACAAGGCTCCAGCTCCTGCCAGCTACAATAAGGCCGCTACTGCCACCTACAGCGACCCAGGTGCCGCCATCTACAGCAGCCCAGCTGTCGCCACCTACAGCAGCCCAGCTGTCGCCACCTACAGTGGCCCAGCTCCCGCTACCTACAGCGGCCCAGTCCCCGCTAGCTACAGCGGCCCAGCCCCCGCTAGCCACAGTAGCCCGGCTCCTTCAAGCCACAGGGCCTCAGCTTCAACCGGCTTCAAGCACGGACGTTCCGCTGGTTATAGCACCCCGGCTCCCACCAGTTACAGCACCCCTGCCCCGTCCAACTACAATGCCCCGGCTCCCGCCAGCCACAGCACCCCGGCTCCCACCAGCCACTAGGCGCTACCTGCCATCATCGCGAGGTCTCAAGGTCCCGCTAGGTACAGCACCATGGCACCCACCAAACACCATGTTCCAGCTTTTGACAACTATGCTGGCTCCCGTGGCCATGAGGCTCGGGTTTCCTATGATACCTATGATAACTATGGTGCTCTCACTCACAACTGATATGGGTGACGTCGAACATGCCAAGCTTTCCTCCTTGCTAGTTGTGTGTATTTAAAGTGTGATCTTAAGGGAATATATACGTTTCAGCCCTAATCAGCGTGCACTTGAAGCCGATGGAATGGTCATTGAGCTCCTTTACATGGAGTCTTAGAATCAGTGCAAGCAAGCCTCCTTGCGCAGGGTGAGACGCGACAGGCGATAACGGATGCATGTGCTGTCGTGTGTAGGATTCCAAAAACCAAGGTTATATAGCCAGAAGTCTTTCGCAAGTCACGGGAGGGGACGGGGCTTCAGGAGATAAAAGTCCCACCACGGAAGAGTAGATCGGGATCCTCACGACCGAGAACGGCAACAGCGACACTGGGAGACGAAAGCTCCGCGTGTGTCAAGCGCTGAGATCCTTTTCAGCTAGCCGGTAAAGTTTCAACAATATTGATCTCTGTGCAGTTCGTTTCTCGGTGGAATCTCCGAGGCATTCGTGTTCGCCTCGATGTCGCCCGAGATCCGCCAGCGCGTTGACAGGGCCGATGGGCTCGGTGGTCACTACCGGACGACCCCGGTGACGAGCGTGCTGGTCCGGGTCGGGGAGGTAGCTGTGATGCTGTCTCGCAGCTGTTGCGAGCAGGTAGGCACCAGATGGCTGGTAAGGCTGCGATGCATCCTTGCATCGGCAGAAGCAGACTATTTGCAGAGTCTTCAATGTCTATGCAGTTGGAAAGTCTTCACGCATGCAGTCAACCACACTCAGAGTACATATTCAGCTCTATGTTTTCTCCTTGATACTTACGCTACACAACGCAACGACACGAGGGCACAGCGCCTGATGCTGTACGGCACATCCCCTCCCCAGCCATCCATGATGACTGGTTCACAGGATCCCGCCTCCTGACCCGAGTCGCAGTGCCGTGCGAGGTGGGTCGCGTGGACAGTGCCCCCGCCCCCTCCTCCCTAGTTACACGGGAGGGGAAAGGTTTCAACGGCTCACTCCTTTCCCCCGCTGAAGGGGGGGGGGGGGGTCACGGGACGGTTTCGAAGCACGCAGCCGTTCATGGTAATGTTCGTAACCACTAATGCACCGTAGCGCCTCATGCATCAAAACCTCTAATGCTTCATAACGCCTAATGTACGTAGCACCTAATGTACCATAACCTTTAAGGTACCGCAACTCCTAATATATCATAACACCTAATGTATCGCAACTCCTAACGTATCATAACACCTAATGTGTCATAAGATCTAACGTACGTAATCCCGAATGCTCGTAGCCTCTAATCTAATCTAATCACAACTCTGCAGGGAATACTGCTGCTGTTACCAGGTGTTATGAAACATTAGCGGTTTTGATACGTTAAGCGTTACGATATATAAGTGGTTACAAACATAAGGGCTTCCGATAATGATCCGGTTATCATTTTACGCTTTTTGTCGCAGGTTGGTAAATCTTAGCCATGTTATAAACTAGGGGTGTCGCCTTCAAAAATCGGTTGGGGGCTCAGCTGAGAACGCTGAACTGATGTGTTGCCAGGACCTGGTTTTCACCCGGATTTCGGCCACATAAATTTTCTTCCTCGATGTTGCACTTTAAAAGCAGGTTTTTGGAGACTTAAAATTGTTTTCATTCAGAGGAATGACTTCCCATTTAGACTTAATATGAAGCTGGGAGGGGGATCATCAGAAAAATAAGCCCAATGCCATGCAACGGGTTTTTGAAACTGGGCCTAGGCCAACAGCACAGACTGTGGGCACCAGCATGACTGCAAAGTCTGGCGTGGGAGTCCTTCAGCAGCCAGAGTCCTGCTCCACTGAGACTTTGTCCTTAAGTTGGCTCCGCCCCTGTGAGACCTCCCTCGGACAATTCTCTCGGACAATTCCTGCTCCGAGACTCTATTTCTAAGTCTGTTTCATGAAGTTTTTTGTCCTTACAGTTTCGTGAAACTGGGTCGGCTCGCCTCGTTTTTGTATGGTCAAATCCTCCGCCGGGAATGTTCTCCTCTAATACGTTGCCGAGCCAGCCTTTCGAAACCCCAGGGATGTCCCCCCTCCCACCCCCCACCGTGCCCTGGGGGATTCGGGCATCGCCACGCCCCCGATGGTGCAAGGTCCGCCCACTCTCCTCATGATTCGCCTCGGGTGGGTCACGCGCGTCCCCCACTCATCCCGTTGCTGCATGGTGCCGACACCTGGGAGGATGGGAGGGGGACAAGGCAGCTGTCCTGTTTTATTCTTCCGCCGATGGTCGGGCACCGCGAGTTCACCAATCTCGTCCGACTGGCCGGTGGCAAATGTCTCTTTTGAAGTGGCGGTCCGAAACGGAAAAAGGCCGCCGTCGTGTGAAGCTCTGGAACAATAGTCACTTGCCACGCCCTGTCAGCTCGCGCGCCGCTCTATCCCGCGGATCAGTTGACTAGCAGGTGCTCTCCTGCCGTGGCGGGGCGGCCAGGCGCAGACTTTGGCGGACCTGCATGCACTTCAAGGGCTCTTTTCGGCCTAATGGTGCTGTTTGCCTCGCAGAGGGGTTCATAGCAGCGGCCGGTCTGCTTCCTGTCCCATATCCCTCCGGGAAGCTCCACTGATCCTGGACAGGCGGTGTAGAAAAATGAAACGTGTCGAGATGCATGTCTACAATACCACCAATACAATGCCACCAATACAAGACCTACAGTACAATGTCATGTGGCGTGTGTTGGTCCTATGGTGGCGTGATTACCGCCGACCGCTTTTTCCAAACAGAATGGCTTAAGGTTTTTAAGGGATCGTGCACGACAGACCACCTGGTTCTACTTAAGGAAACCCGATCACGTGCATCATGCGTGTTCCGTTGGGACTGCCGTGCACCGAGGGATTCGCACGCGTGAGATGTCAGTCACTTTATCCCTCCACCAAAAGTTTGAACGGAGTTTTATGGATTGTGGGCGGGTCTGTGCCAAAATCTGGCTCAGTCTTAACTGCTGGGAAACATTCGTCATTGAGCCAACTAATGCATCGAATGTGTTGGGCCAAGGTTTTGCCGGTAGTGTCGACTGAAAGACCTGTTGGTTTTGCATACTGGTTGGGGGACCGGGGAGGGTTCGCATAAGTGCTGCCATTTCTCAGCCCACAGGCACACGAAAATCGGTTACAGCGATGTCGATGAGCTTTTTGCAGGGCGTTGTTGATGACGTGGCGAGCTTTCAGAACAGAACAGCAAGAAAGATATTATCTTACCTTAAAGGCATTCGATATAATTCGGTTATACAGCGCAGCAAGAGGGTAATTTTTTATCTGATTAGAATGATAAAGTATGCTGAATAACATCAGCTTCAGTTGGATTGAATGACACTAAATCTAATAAGAGTAAATAACATCAAATGAACTTAGACTGAATAACATCGAATCGAGTTGGATTGAAAAATATCAAATATACCTAGATCGAACAATACCAAAACGTACCTTATCTAGAGTTCAGCAACTATCAAGTAACAAGCGTCCTACCTATCGCTGCCTTAACTCGTCAGTTCTCAACAGCATCGCTATCATTTACCAATGCAACCGTAACGAGTGGCACAGAATGGCGAAGGAAAATAGAGCAGAAAAAAGGTGTCTCTGGATTTGCGGGAAACAAGAGGCGTCTCTGCCAACGTTGTGGAGGAAACGGACGTTGAAAACCTGAAAATCCAACCAAGGAGGAGCTCGAGTCCCTCACGACTGAGCACCGAGACGGCTTCATTTGGGGACGAAGTCTACGCCGTAGGTCAGGGGGTGGTGGACATTTGTTGCCAGTTTGTAGGGTCTCGACGTGCCTTACATCTGTGACATTGTTTTTCCAGTGCAATTGCAAAGGGTTCTGACATAATTCTACTGACGCACCCTCGCCTAAAGATCGTTCGTCGCGTGCGCACATATTTGCCCTGGGGGCAGCGTCGACCACCTTACTCCCCGTCTTTACTACGAACTTTATGGCATGCATAAATATGTCCGTATCAAAATGTTGACAGTAAAAGATCACGGGTAGACAAGTGAAAATAAGAACTACGCACAGCTCTTTTGGCGCTGGAGACTTGAATTGAGACGCTGGCACGGCTGGGCGGTGTTGGGCTTCCTGCCAGCGTTTATAACGTATGCATCGGGAATTATTTCCCAGACGTTGAAATCATGTCACAATGTTATTTCTCTTTTGAAGCGCCAAAGATGCATCCGGGGGTGCAAAAAACCAACAACGAGCGTCGCATCAAATACAGCATATTTAGCATAATACGTATTCGGCAATATCTTAATTTGGATGATTTCGAAAACATTCCAGCCTGGGTTGGCTGGCAAATGACGGAAGGCAGCACAGAATCTCAACTAGCAGCTGGTATGTAACGACAGAATAGAGTATCTGCAACAGAAAATAGCAAACATTATGATGAGTCGGATAATTTCAGCAGATTGTGCGCTTCAAAATCCTTATCTTGTTTGCACTGTTTCTGTCAATAAGCGAACTGTCGAACTAAATAGATGTCAGGCAGGGTAAACATGCCCTCGTATGTTCTCCAGCAGTTATTCAAAAAGTTATCTGACATTAGGCATAGCAGGTGTTCGTGACAACTGCCTATGATGACGGATAGCTGCCAGGTCCGGATGGCCTCTGCCGTTGTGAGGGTCCATTGCAGGAGGACAGCGCCGGTGAAGTGGCTCTCACCCGGCCTGGCACCGTCAGCTTCCCGACCGTCTGACTCCAATGTCGGGACGTTGTGACACTGCGGTTTGATGGCGGCTGGTCCGGTTATGGGCATGGGCGGAGACTTTCTGACCAATGAGCTGAGATCGTCACGTCTGGACAGCGCCCGCGGTCTGCCGTATAAAAGCTTGACACCGAGCGTGTCCGGTACCACTGTCCAAGTGTCGACAGCAGAACAACAATGTATCTGGTGAGTGCGCCCACATGGAAGTGATGGTTGCAGTAATCCGGCCCCGGCACAGGCAATGATGATTCGTGAAGCTCTGTTTTATGTCATGCAGTGTCGTTTGCTTTATTGGTGCTGTGACGCACCAGCTTGTACTTGCTCTCAAACGTCAAAACAAGACCATTGTGAAGAATCACGTTTCAAGCATCTTACCGGATGTTTTTGTACTGCATTGTTTTGCATGAATGAAAAGAGCAAGCGGGCACGGAAGAGCATGCTTTTCCTCATATTGGTGGGCAACAAATAATTAGATCATCTTGTAAAGTAAAAGCAACTAAGAACCGGATGAAGTGAATATGCCTGCCTTTTCGAGCCGAGAATGTCGTGACAGCTTAGCCTCACAGTCAGTTTTGCTCAGTTCTCCAAATCCCGTCCCGATAGCGCGCAATGCTCGTTCTCACACCGTGTGTCTCCTCGGACAGCTGGTGGCCGCCTGTCTGGCCGCACTGGCCCGCGCCGAGGGCCCGGCCCCTGCCGACCCACACCAACTGCCGGCCGCCCACACGGCCGGGGAGCACGGCCGCTACGCCCACTACGCCATCGTCAGTCAGGAGCACGTGCAGCCGGGCGACGGCTCGTACCAGTCGAGCTTCCAGACGGAGAACGGCATCTACCGTGCCGAGAACGGCAACCCCCGGCCCGGCTACGGCGCCGGTGAGCACGGCCAGCCCACCGGTGGCTACGTCCACCAGGGCAGCTGGAGCTACACCGACGACTACGGCCAGCCGGTGAAGGTGGACTTCGTGGCCGACGAGAACGGCTACCGGCCCAACAGCGACACCCTGCCGACACCGGTGCCGACCCAGTACCCGCTGCCCGTGGTGCCTCAGGTGTACCAGGGCGAGGGGGCTTACGGCCCGGCGGCGTCCAGTCACAAGGCTCCAGCTCCTGCCAGCTACAGTAAGGCCGCTACCGCCACCTACAGGGGCCCAGCTGCCGCCACCTACAGCAGCCCAGCTGTCGCCACCTACAGAGGCCCAGCTCCCGCTACCTACAGCAGCCCAGCTGCTGCCACCTACAGCAGCCCAGCCTTCGCCACCTACAGCGCCCCCGTTCTCATAAGTTACAGCGGCCCAGCTCCCGCTAGCCACAGCGGCCCAGCTCCCACTAGTTACAGCGGCCCAGCTCCCGCCAGTTACAGAAGCCAAGCTCCCGTTAGCTACAGTGGCCCAGCTCCCGCTAATTTCAACGGCCCAGCTCGCGCTAGTTACAGCGGCCCAGCTCACGCTGGTTACAGCGGCCCAGCTCACGCTAGCTACAACGGCCCAGCTCACGCTAGCTACACCGGCCCAGCTCGCGCTAATTACAACGGCCCAGCTCACGCTAGTTACAGCGGCCCAGCTCCCGCTAGTTACAGCAGCCCAACTCGCGTTAGTTACAGCGTCCCAGCTCCCGCTAGCTACAGGGGTCCAGCTCCCTCTAGATACAGAGGCCCAGCCCCCGCTGGTTATAGCGGCCCAGCTCACGCTAGCTACAGTGGCCCAGCTCCCGCTAGCTACAGCGGCCCAGCTCACGCTAGCTACAGCGGCCCAGCTTCCGCTAGCCACAGCGGCCCAGCTCCCCCTAGTTACAGCGGTCCAACTGTCGCTAGTTACAATAGCCCGGCTCATTCTAGCCACAGGGCCTCAGCTTCCACTGCCTTTAAGCGCGGACGTCCTGCTGACTACAGCACCCCGGCTCCTGCCAGACACAGCACCTTGGCTCTCGCCAGGCACAGCGACCCGGCTCCTGCTGGCTACCAGGCGCCAGTTGCCGTCCGCGTGAGGTCTCGGGGTCACGCAAGTTACAGCACCCCAACTCCTGCCAGACACTTCACCTCGGCTTCCGCCGGGCACAGCACACCATCTTCGGCCAGGCACAGCACACCGGCACCCACCAGACACAGCACACCGTCTCAGGCCAGGCACAGCAACCCGACTCCGGTCAGCTACAGCACCCCAGCTCCGGCTACACACAGCACATTGGCTCCAGCCAGACACAGCACACCATCTCAGGCCAGGCACAGCAGCCTGGCTCCGGCCAGCTATGGCACCCCAGCTCCCGCCAGACACAACTCATTGGCTCCGTCCAGACACAGCACATCGGCTCCGTCCAGACACAGCACCTCGGCTTCCACCAGCTACAGCAGCACAGCTCCGGCCAGCTACAGCACCCCAACTCCGGCCAACTACAGCACCACAGCTTCCGCTGTACACAGCACACCGGTTCCGGCCAGGCATTACAGCACCACGGCTCCCACCTCCTACCACGTCCCATCAACTGAGAGCTATGCTGGCTCCGGTAGCAATGAGGCTCAGGCTTCTGATGTCTATGGTGCTTCTACTCACGTCTGGTAGCTTTGGCATCAACACGTCGATGTGTTCTCCTGCGTGTCCTCGTGCTTGTTTTGTACATTAGTTAAAGGTAAGTGAGTTAAAGCGAAATATATTTTTAGCCTTGACAGACATTATGTGAAAACCGGCCTGACTGATAAGCCAATAACACTAGCCCTGACCAGCATGGGTGTGAGGAGGAAGGCGCTGCCGAATGGGATGGTTTTCAGCTGCCATCGTGTGGATGATGCCGAAAAACAAGGCAATGCAGCCAGACATCTCTGGCAAAGCACCGGATGGGACGGACGGAGAAGACCAGAAAGTCCACCCAAGGAAGGGTATGGGTGCACATGGTTGCGACATGAAATACTTCTCTCACACAATTGGCCAATATAATGGCACAGCTTTTTAGCCATTTTTAATGGCTGGTAGCATGCTAACTTTAACTGCTAACTTGCACGTACCAAATCTTATCTGCCTACAAGCAACAAACATGTCGGCAAGCAATTGTCAGCGAATGTCTGGCTGTACCATGCATAGGAAGGGTCCTATCCTTGAAACAATAGCGCACGGTGGTGTGGCGCTCGCGGTGCAGCACGGCCTCCCAAACACAGCGGTCCCTTTCGACGTCGATGTGCAGGCAGTGGTCGTATCCGTTGACCTTCGCGATAAGAACCACCATAAGCTCTATCTCCGTCACTAAAGCAGATATGCGTGCCGGCATTTCAAAGGTTCGTTGATCAGTTGACGTGTCCGTGTCCGTTCTTCTTGGAGACATCAATGCGGGCTTCGTGACACGGTGCAAATGACACGCTTATAACAGGAGAGGATGGCTGGAGAGCTTCGTAAAGAATAACAGGCCAGATCTTTTGAACATTCGAGATATGAGTCAAATGGCGTGGGGTAGGTAGAAGCCGCGGGAGAATGTCACTGCTACGTCGGTAACACAGGCTGTTAGTCGCGTAATACATCTCAGCCTGTCACGCGGCCGTGCACAAAACATTGGGCACACGACGGCGTATGACAGTGCCGCGGTGGGCTGATGATCGCCGACTGGCTGTTCAGGACTAGGTGGTTCGCGACTTGTAAAGGATCATGCATGGCAGACAAAGGTGGTTGTACTTCTGAAAAGCCCGAACCGATGCGCGATGCGTGTGCTGTTGGAGCGATCCCGCACCGTGGCAGTCGCACGCGCGGGGTATTAGCTAGTTAACTCCTTGGATAGACGTATTGAGCCGAGGTTACTGGATGGTTGGATGGGTCTGTACCATCACCTGGTTCAGTCCGTTGACTGCTGCCAAGCATTCAGCTTGGAGTCAACTCAAGCGGCTAGTGACAGAAGCCGAGCTTTGGTTGATGGGTGCCGACTGAGAGACCGGAGGCTTCCCGAGCGTGAAACGGGCCCGGGAGGATTTCCGCTGCCATTTCCGGATAACCGCTGCCAATTCTCAGCTCGCAGGCAAGTAAAATGTGGCTTCAAGAAACCGTAGGGTCTTAGACAGATAATGATGGCAAAGTGGCTGGCTTTGGCACACTTCTAGGACGTAGTAATAAGGATTTGTATTATTATCTCTATATCTATATCTATATATATATATATATATATATATATATATGTATATCTCTCTCCCTCTCTCCATCTCTATAGCTATATCTATATGTACATATATATATATATATATATATATATATATATATATATATATATATATATATATATAAGTGCTATCGTTCCAGTCTCAGGGGTTCTTCAGCGCCGCTTGAACGTGATGTAACTACGCTTATTTACGGTTTTGCGGTGTTTGATATGCACCCAGCTGTGTGGGTCAAGCTGTTTTTGGGCTTACCCAGTTCCCTTGACAGACGACGGTCTCGCTTCAAATGGGCTACTATACCGGGACTTCAGCAGCTTTTGTAGCATAGGAATATGAGCCCTCCGATATTTCCTGTAGCATGATTTTTGAGCTAAGATATCACGCACTGGCAGAGTTGTGTGAGTCTCATCGCGTATCGCTTTGGAACGGCGAGTTTCTGAACGGACAATTTAACGTAACCGATAGTAGAGCTTAGAGTAACGAAGAGCTTAGAATAGAAGGGAAGAGCTTAGAATAACGTGATGCATGACGGCTATTTTACGGCGCGACGGAACGGTGCTGCTCCGTCTCCCGGCAGTCTCGTGCGTGCGTTCATATCAAAAGGATGTCTGCACACGTGACTGACAGCCGCATTTCACGGCCTCCGGCAGATCGTGATCTCGCACTCGTGTCTCGACAAGGACGGGTCGGAGCGACCCCGGGGTGGAACGAAGAGAGACGCCATGTGAAATGGTACGGTCGCACGTATCACGTGTGACGTGCTCAAAGATGGCATGCTATCTTCCACGGGTTTACACGTTTTGTGCTACATGTCGGCACCCGGGACACGGACACACTCCGGAGTGGCACGCCTCGATAAGGAATGGAGCGGGCAAGATGGTGATGATTCGTCACACGCGTCATGTGTCATGGCGCCCACGTGTTGAAGTATGGATTTGGCTATTTTGGACGGGTTTACACCTTTTGCGATGTCGCGGCACCCATGACTTGAAGCCACCCGAGAGTCGCACGCTTCGATAAAGCATCAATTGTAAGAGTGTGTCCTTCCAAACGGTTTGGCCCCATGCACTTCGTGCCACCCCCACACGTGCTGGCGATATGGATTTTTGAGCTTACGCCCATTTTCACGTTTTGCACCATTTCTCGGCACTTTCGTTACGAAGCCATTCGGGAGTGGCATGTGTACAATAGTGAATCCAACGGGCCATTGGGCGGTGCCAAGTTTTCAATCATACGGCCCACGTGTCGCGCCTTCACGAGCTGGCAAGGTGGATTTCGCCGTTTTCAACGGTGCTCACGTTTTTTGCCACATCTCGGCGACACAGGAATAGTACACATTGATAGAGACTGTAACTGGAAGTCGTCTGCGGAGAACATGAGGTTACACGTGTTACGTGTCATGTGTAGCCGCGCTGGAAAACGGATTTTGCGTTTTGACGGGTGTACACGTGATATCTTTGCACCCAGGGAACGAAGCGAGCAGCGATTGGCATGCTTCGACGGGCAGTCTAACGAGTAATCACGTGGTTTAACTTGCAATGATCGTTATGATCATTGCATGTTAACCGCAGTGATCATATTAATCAATCGCAATGCAAATGATCGCAATCATCGTTACTCTTACGTTTTGTGCTTCACGTGCGCACCAGCTGTGAAGATGCAGCTTTCCGATTTCGTCGATTTTGCGTTTTACGCCACATCTCCGCACCCAGGGTACGAAACGACGCGGGACTGGCATACTACGATCAGAAACTAAACGGACAGTCGTGTGTTTTCAGTTGTGCGTGCGCACGGGTCACGTGTCACACCCACACGCTCTCTCCTGCAAAAGGCATTATTTAACTTAACATGGCATGGCAGCGTCCTGAAAGAGACTGGGCGCACGCAGGAAATATGCAGCGAATCGCTGAAATTATCGCCGAGTCGATGTATTTGTTGTGGACTCACCTTTCCTGGGTTGATGACTTGGTGAAGGAGAGGGAAATGCCGAAAATATTTAAAACGTTAAGACGCAAAGAATCCCTACCCCACCCGTCTTTTCATGCCAGGTTCCTCTGTTCCACTAAGGGAGGCTCGCCCCTCCGTGTTGATGTTTCGTTGCCTGCGCACGTGCCGGCTGGAAGCCACTACGCGCGTGTTCCTTATCGTGTAACGGCAACCTGGAACCGCACGCCCCCGACCGCCACTGTGTCTTCATCTGTGAGGAAGTGAAAACTCGCGTTTTAAGACGCAAATGCTGGACATACTCCCAGGTTTTAAACCCATGTTGGTGATCTATGTTATACGCCCATAGGCGGGTTAGTATGTAATCTTCGCAGATTAATCACCCTATGCGCTTGCAATTTGTCTTCATTTCTTATTTTAGTCATGATTTGGGTTTGGTGCACGCTGATGTGTCAAAACTTCAGGTTTATGAGAGCTATCGCTTTATTTCTTTCGTATTCTATCGTATCTGATGTCATTGTGTTGTAACGAGCCACACATACCAAACGTTGCAACCAACCAAAGACCTGAAAAGACACCTCGTGGATGGACTTGGTGTAAACACTGATATAAATACTTCGGATGATATCTTAGAGGATGATGATACTCCACATATCAAAATCTAACTTTCTGTCCATGCAGATTAACGGCTTTTTCCACGTGTTGTGTTTCTGGCGTTCATTGGAATGCAGATCTAGATTTTCATAATGACGCAGAGGTCTTTGTTTCTAGGCTAGATCTCAGCTCACCTCTTGCATGATACTTCTGGACCGGATCAGTCCTACGTTTGGTGGCTGGTGAGTGCATCTGTCAGGTTATTCTGTTTGCACTATTATTGTATTGCTGGCGGTATCCAATGATTGTTGGCGACTCATTCACAATATTTATGGAGGTCCTCCCAAGTTAGGGAGGGTATGTCTGTTTTTGGTGAGATTTTGTTTAGCACGAATTTTCAACACCCGTAAGTTGAACCCATCGGGTGTTAAATCCGCTAGTTTCAGTGCGAAATGTTTTGATGCGCGCAAAAGAGTTTAGTTAGTTCCCCTGGCCATACTCGGCTCCGCACCCATGCTTTGTTGTTATACCTTAGTATGCATCCCTTATCACAAATCATGCTTGTTAGCCCATTTGGTCTTTTGTCGGGGAGATTTCCCTGTGTGATGGTGGGCTTCCGAATTCGATCTACGGGGTGGAACAGATTTTCAGAGCTCAAAGTGTTGCAACTCTAGTCCATAGTCACTCCGAAGCACCAGATGACGCCATTAGCGGCACGTTTTCGGCCAAGAACCTCACATCAGCAGATCGCAACAGAAAGAGAGAGAGCACATCCTCCGCCACTGAAGATGTCTGAAATGAGTCGTGTTTACGGCTCAGCAGGGGACCTCAGTTTGGTCCTCTTTGACAGTTTCATTGTAAAGAGGGCACAAATGACTCCCAGTTAGTGACAGGAAGCTCCCATCATTTCTCTTCTCAAGAAGGAAGGGTCAACGCATGAGGAGCAGCGAAAGCTGCACGAACCGCAAGAGCTCTCTGATCACAATACAGTACTAATGGATTTGAACGGAATGCAACGCCAATACGAAAGTTGATGGTGGAGAGCGGCGCAGAATCAGACAACGGACAAATACATATTTTCTACCACTTTATGCGTATTTCCACTGCAGCATGTCAAATCATATTTTCCAATCCTTCGACAAACAAGAAAATTCAATTAACCTAAACCATGAGTAGTCTTCCCTCCTACTGAAAAGGATCATGCAGTCGCCACATGCGAGCAAAGAAGTGTTCAAACCACGAACTGCATGCGGGCAACACAACTCAAAACATAAAATATCACTTTTTGTACTTAGATTCTGCCGAACACTAACTCCGGCTCAGTGACCGCGATGCGAGACAGTGCATGCGGTGTCACAGTTCAGCCAGCGACTTCCTGTAGGTACTGCTGGGACGGCTATCTGTCTTGACTCTGACATCATTTGGCTTCATCACAATTCCCCTCGGCCTTCGCACTCCCGTGGGGTAAAGTTCCCCTGGTCGGGAACGTCTGGGCCACGTGACTCACTCGCGACGGGCCGTCAGCCTCACAGTCAGGTAGCGTCTACGCCAGCCTCGCGGTCAGGTAGCGTCTACGCCATGGTCGCAGCTTTCTGACCAACTGGAACGTACGTCGCTTGGTACACACAGGCTTTGCGAAACTTTGAATGTAACTTCCGGAAAAAAATTGTAGCGCGTCGGCTTGTTGTTGGACTTAGTTTCAGCAGATTGACGAGATCCAGACCATTTCACAAAACTGTTTTTGCCACTTGTTTTAATAAACAAACCAGTAGTAACGTAATGTTCGTCATGGTAGGCATGCCAATGTGACACCTCTCCCAGAATATTCTCGTGCATTGTATACAGCTCGTGCTTGTGTCCGATGCAGGCTCGCCTCCAGGTCCTGCTGACCTCTGCCGTTGTGTGGGTCACAGTGCAGGAGGACAGCGCTGGTGAAGTGACTCACAACCGGTCTGGCGCCGTCGACTTCCCGACCGTGACTGACTCTGGTCTGACTCAAATGTCCGGGCGTTGTGACACTGCGGTTTGCCGGTGGCTGGTGCGGTTATGGGCATCGGCGGCGACTCTCTGGCCACTAAGGTGGGATTGTCACGTCTGGACGGCGCCAGCAGTGTGCCGTATAAAAGCCTGCCACCGAATGTGACCGACACCACAGCCCAACAGGCCACGGGAGAACAACAAGCAACAATGCATCTGGTGAGTGCGCCTATTGGCAATTTGATGATCGTGGCACAGGCAATCATCTTTCGTCCAGTTCTTGCATGTGCTTAATAATGCTAAAAACAAGACAACTATGGAAAACCTGTGTTGCAGCAAAACCTTAGGTGATGTTTTTGTAATGCAAGACTTCGCTTGAAGTACTTGAAGCAAATGGGCACGGAAGGTCATCTCTGTTTTCATGGCAACGGATGGAAAACCATGTGTCGACGTCGTTAAGTACGCGTTACTTGAGAAGCGAATGTAGCGAAGACCACCTGAATTTTAAACACAGGACTTAAATGACAGAATAGCCGCACGACTGGCTAAGTCCATGTCCTGTGCTATGTCCTGCTATGGCCATCTCCTTTGTTTGTAGCTATGTCCAGCTTGCCAAATCACACTCCGGTAGCGTGCTCTTGGTGTAATGCTCGTTCTCACTCCGTGTATCTCCTCTGACAGCTGGTGGCCGCCTGTCTGGCCGCACTGGCCCGCGCCGAGGGCCCGGCCCCTGCCGACCCACACCAACTGCCGGCTGCCCACACGACCGGGGAGCACGGCCGCTACGCCCACTACGCCATCGTCAGCCAGGAGCACGTGCAGCCGGGCGACGGCTCGTACCAGTCGAGCTTCCAGACGGAGAACGGCATCTACCGTGCCGAGAACGGCAGCCCCCGACCCGGCTACGGCGCCGGCGAGCACGGCCAGCCCACCGGCGGCTACGTCCACCAGGGCAGCTGGAGCTACACCGACGACTACGGCCAGCCGGTGAAGGTGGACTTCGTGGCCGACGAGAACGGCTACCGGCCCAACAGCGACATCCTGCCGACACCGGTGCCGACCCAGTACCCGCTGCCCGTGGTGCCTCAGGTGTACCAGGGCGAGGGGGCATACGGCCCGGCTGCGTCCAGTCACAAGGCTCCAGCTCCTGCCAGCTACAATAAGGCCGCTACTGCCACCTACAGCGACCCAGGTGCCGCCATCTACAGCAGCCCAGCTGTCGCCACCTACAGCAGCCCAGCTGCCGCCGCCTACAGTGGTCCAGTCCCCGTTAACTACAGCAGCCCAACACCCGCCAGCCACAGTAGCCCAGCTCCTTCAAGCCACAGGGCCTCAGCTTCAACCGGCTTCAAGCACGGACGTTCCGCTGCCTATAGCACCCCGGCCCCCACCAGCTACAGCACCCCTGCTCCGTCCAACTACAATGCCCCGGCTCCCGCCAGCCACAGCACCCCGGCTCCCACCAGCCACTAGGCGCTACCTGCCATCATCGCGAGGTCTCAAGGTCCCGCTAGGTACAGCACTATGGCACCCACCAACCACCATGTTCCAGCCTTTAACAACTATGCTGGCTCCCGTAGCCATGAGGCTCGGGTTTCCTATGATACCTATGATGACTATGGTGCTCTCACTCACAACTGACATGGGTGACGTCGAACATGCCAAGCTTTCCTCCTTGCTAGCTGTGTGTATTTTAAGTGTGATCTTAAGGGAATATATACGTTTCAGCCCTAATCAGCGTGCACTTGAAGCCGATGGAATGGTCATTGAGCTCCTTTACATGGAGTCTTAGCATCAGTGCAAGCAAGCCTCCTTGCGCAGGGTGCGTCGCGACAGGCGATACCGGATGCATGTGCTGTCGTGTGTAGGATTCCAAAAACCAAGGTTATATAGCCAGAAGTCTTTCGCATGTCACGGGAGGGGACGGGGCGTCAGGAGATAAAAGTCCTACCAAGGAAGAGTAGATCGGGATCCTCACGACCGAGAACGGCGACAGCGACACTGGGGGACGAAAGCTTCGCGTGTGTCAAGCGCTGAGATCCTTTTCAGCTAGCCGGTAAAGTTTCAACAATATTGATCTCTGTGCAGTTCGTTTCTCGGTGGAATCTCCGAGGCATTCGTGTTCGCCTCGATGTCGCCCGAGATCCGCCAGCGCGTCGACAGGGCCGATGGGCTGGGCGGTCACTACCGGACGACCCCGGTGACGAGCGTGCTGGTCCGGGTCGGGGAGGTAGCTGTGATGCTGCTCTCGCAGCTGTTGCGAGCAGGTAGGCACCAGATGGCTGGTAAGGCTGCGATGCATCCTTGCATCGGCAGAAGCAGACTATTTGCACAGTCTTCAACGTCTATGCAGTTGGAAAGTCTTCACGCATACAGTCAACCACACTCAGAGTACATATCCAGCTATATGCTTCCTCCTTGATACTTACGCTACATAACGCAACGATACGAGGGCACAGCGCCTGATACAAACATAAGGGCCCCCGATAATGATCCGATTATCATTTACGCTTTTTGTCCCAGGTTGGTAAATTCTAGCCATGTTGTACACTAGGGGTGTCCCTTTCAAATATCGGTTGGGGGCTCAGCTGAGAACGCTGAACTGATGTGCTGCCAGGACCTGATTTTCGCCCTGATTTCGGCCACATGAATTTTCTTCCTCGATGTTAGAATTTGAAAACAGCTTTTCGGAGACTTAGAATTGTTTCCATTCAGAGGAATGACTTCCCATTTAGAGTTAACATGAAGCTGGGAGGGGAGGATTATGATAAAAATAAGTCCAACATCATGCAATGGGTTTTTGAAACTGGGCCTAGGCCAACAGCACAGACTGTGGGCACCAGCATGACTGCAAAGTCTGGCGTTGGAGTCCTTCAGCAGCCAGAGTCCTGCTCCACTGAGACCTTGTCCTTAAGTTGGCTCCGCCCCTGTGAGACCTCCCTCGGACAATTCTCTCGGACAGTTCCTGCTCCGAGACTCTATTTCTAAGTCTGTTTCATAAAGTTTTTTGTCCTTACAGTTTCGTGAAACTGGGTCGGCTCGCCTCGTTTTTGTATGGTCAAATCCTCCGCCGGGAATGTTCTCCTCTAATACGTTGCCGAGCCAGCCTTTCGTAACCCCAGGGATGTCCCCCCTCCCACCCCCCACCGTGCCCTGGGGGATTCGGGCATCGCCACGCCCCCGATGGTGCAAGGTCCGCCCACTCTCCTCATGATTCGCCTCGGGTGGGTCACGCGCGTCCCCCACTCATCCCGTTGCTGCATGGTGCCGACACCTGGGAGGATGGGAGGGGGACAAGGCAGCTGTCCTGTTTTATCCTTCCGCCGATGGTCGGGCACCGCGAGTTCACCAATCTCGTCCGACTGGCCGGTGGCAAATGTCTCTTTTGAAGTGGCGGTCCGAAACGGAAAAAGGCCGCCGTCGTGTGAAGCTCTGGAACAATAGTCACTTGCCACGCCCTGTCAGCTCGCGCGCCACTCTATCCCGCGGATCAGTTGACTAGCAGGTGCTCTCCTGCCGCGGCGGGGCGGCCAGGCGCAGACTTTGGCGGACCTGCATGCACTTCAAGGGCTCTTTTCGGCCCAATGATGGTGTTTGCCTCGCAGAGGGTTTCAGGCAGCGGCCGGTCTGCTTCCTGTCCCATATACCACCGGAGGCTCCACCGATCTTGGACAGGCGGTGTAGAAAAATGAAGCGTGTCGAGATGCATGTCTACAGTACCACCAATACAATGCCCTCAATACAAGACCTACAGTACAATGTCATGTGGAGTGTGTTGGTCCTATGGTGGCGTGATTACCGCCGACCGCTTTTTCCAAACAGAATGGTTTAAGGTTTTTAAGGGATCGTGCACGACAGACCACCAGGTTCTACTTAAGGAAACCCGATCACGTGCATCATGCGTGTTCCGTTGGGACGGCCGTGCACCGAGGGATTCGCACGCGTGAGATATCAGTCACTTTATCCCTCCACCAAAAGTTTGAACGGAATTTTATGGATTGTGGGCGGGTCTGTGCCATTATCTGGCTCAGTCTTAACTGCTGGGAAACATTCGTCATTGAGCCAACTAATGTATCGAATGTGTTGGGCCAAGGTTTTGCCGGTAGTGTCGACTGAAAGACCTGTCGGTTTTGCATACTGGTTGGGGGACCGGGGAGTGTTCGCATAAGTGCTGCCATTTCTCAGCCCACAGGCACACGAAAAACGGTTACAGCAATGTCGATGAGCTTTTTGCAGGGCGTTGTTGATGACGTGGCGAGCTTTCAGAGCAGAACAGCAAGAAAGACATTATCTTACCTTAAAGGCATTCGATATAATTCGGTTATACAGCGCAGCAAGAGGGTAATTTTTTATCTGATTAGAATGATAAAGTTGGCGGAAAAACATCAGCTTCAGTTGGATTGAATGACACTAAATCTAATAAGAGTAAATAACATCAAATGAACTTAGACTGAATAACATCGAAACGAGTTGGATTGAAAAAAATGAAATATGCCTAGATCGAACAATAGCAAAACGTACCTTATCTAGAGTTCAGCAACTATCAAGTAACAAGCGTCCTACCTATCGCTGCTTTAACTCGTCAGTTCTCAACAGCATCGCTACCATTTACCAATGCAACCGTAACGAGTGGCACAGAATGGCGAAGGAAAATAGGGCAGAAAAAAGGTGTCTCTGGATTTGTGGGAAACAAGAGGCGTCTCTGCTAACGTTGTGGAGGAAACGGACGTTGAAAACCTGAAAATCCAACCAAGGAGGAGGTCGAGTCCCTCACGACTGAGCACCGAGACGGCTTCATTTGGGGACGAAGTCTACGCCGTAGGTAAGGGGGTAGTGGACATTTGTTGCCAGTTTGTAGGGTCTCGACGTGCCTTACATCTGTGACATTGTTTTTCCAGTGCAATTGCAAAGGGTTCTGACATAATTCTACTGACGCACCCTCGCCTAAAGATCGTCCGTCGCGTGCGCACATATTTGCCCTGGGGGCAGCGTCGACCACCTTACTCCCCGTCTTTACTACGAACTTTATGGCATGCATAAATATGTCCGTATCAAAATGTTGACAGTAAAAGATCACGAGTAGACAAGTGAAAATAAGAACATTAACAATACGCCATGTTGTTTTACAGCACGCCAGAAACTGTGTGTTCCCATGGCCCACTAATCTAGGTTTCTGTTGCAACTGTTCTGGTTGTCCCACTCTTCTTCGCTCTGTGAGATCTCGCTCATGCTCCTGCTTGAAGATATCAGCTTCGGTCTGCGCACCAAAAGCGAATTTGTCTGCAACCAGTTCTTAGCGTATGTTCGACTACCTCATATATATGATGGCATTACCACCGGATGCTACAGCGCACAGTGGGCTGGCGCTATTAGTACATCACGGTCCTCCCGAAACATTGGTCCCTTTAAGCACCGAATTGCAAATGGTGGCTGTATTGGTTGACCTGGGCGCGATGAGAACTCCCTTGTGCTCTGCTTTCCATCATAGCATCAGATGTATGTGCCGACTTTTCAAGCCCTTGTTGACCAGTTGACCTGTCCGTGCATTCTTTTGGGTGACATAACTACGCACAGCTCTTTTGGCGCTGGAGACTTGAATTGAGACGCTGGCACGGCTGGGCGATGTTGGGCTTCCTGCCAGCGTTTATAATGTATGATTGGGAATTATTTCCCAGACGTTGAAATCATGTCACAATGTTATTTCTCTTTTGAAGCGCCAAATATGCATCCGGGGGGCGCAAAAAAACCAACAACGAGCATCGCATCAAATACAGCATATTTAGCATAATACGTATTCGGCAACATCTTAATTTGCATGATTTCGAAAACATTCCAGCCTTGGTTGGCTGGCAAATGACGGAAGGCAGCACAGAATCTCAACTAGCAGCTGGTATGTAACGACAGAATACAGTATCTGCAACACAAAATAGCAAACATTATGATGAGTCGGATAATTTCAGCAGATTGTGCGCTTCAAAATTCTTATCTTGTTTGCACTGTTTCTGTCAATAAGCGAACTGTCGAACTAAATAGATGTCAGGCAGGGTAAACATGCCCTCGTAAGTTCTCCAGCAGTTACTCAAAAAATTATCTGACATTAGGCATAGCAGGTGTTCGTGACAACTGCCTATGATGACGGATAGCTGCCAGGTCCGATGGCCTCTGCCGTTGTGAGGGTCCATTGCAGGAGGACAGCGCCGGTGAAGTGGCTCTCACCCGGCCTGGCACCGACAGCTTCCAGCCGTCTGACTCCAATGTCGGGACGTTGTGACACTGCGGTTTGATGGCGCCTGGTTCGGTTGTGGGCATGGGCGGAGACTTTCTGACCAATGAGCTGAGATCGTCACGTATGGACAGCGGCCGCGGTTTGCCATATAAAAGCTTGACACCGAGCGTGTTCGGTACGACTGTCCAAGTGCCGACAGCAGAACAACAATGTATCTGGTGAGTGCACCCACTTGGATGTGATGGTTGCAGTAATCCGGCCCCGGCACAGGCAATGATGAATCGTGAAGCTCTGTTTTATGTCATGCAGTGTCGTTTGCTTTATTGGTGCTGTAACGCACCAGCTTGTACTTGCTCTCAAATGTGAAAACAAGACCATTGTGAAGAATCGCGTTTCAAGCATCTTACCTGATGTTTTTGTACTGCATTGTTTTGCATGAATGAAAAGAGCAAGCGGGCACGGAAGAGCATGCTTTTCCTCATATTGGTGGGAAACAAATAATTAGATCATCTTGTAAAGTAAAAGCAACTAAGAACCGGATGAAGTGAACACGCCTGCCTTTTCGAGCCGAGCAGGTAGTGACAGCTTAGCCTCACAGTCAGTTTTGCTCAGTTCTCCAAATCCCGTCCCGATAGCGCGCAATGCTCGTTCTCACACCGTGTGTCTCCTCGGACAGCTGGTGGCCGCCTGTCTGGCCGCACTGGCCCGTGCCGACGGCCCGGCCCCTGCCGACCCACACCAACTGCCGGCTGCCCACACGGCCGGGGAGCACGGCCGCTACGCCCACTACGCCATCGTCAGCCAGGAGCACGTGCAGCCGGGCGACGGCTCGTACCAGTCGAGCTTCCAGACGGAGAACGGCATCTACCATGCCGAGAACGGCAACCCCCGGCCCGGCTACGGCCCCGGTGAGCCCGGCCAGTCCACCGGTGGCTACGTCCACCAGGGCAGCTGGAGCTACACCGACGACTACGGCCAGCCGGTGAAAGTGGACTTCGTGGCCGACGAGAACGGCTACCGGCCCAACAGCGACATCCTGCCGACACCGGTGCCGACCCAGTACCTGCTGCCCGTGGTGCCTCAGGTGTACCAGGGCGAGGGGGCTTACGGCCCGGCGGCGTCCAGTCACAAGGCTCCAGCTCCTGCCAGCTACAATAAGGCCGCTACCGCCACCTACAGCGACCCAGCTGCCGCCACCTACAGCGGCCCAGCTGTCGCCACGTACAGCAGCCCAGCTGTCGCCACCTACAGAGGCCCAGCTCCCGCTAGTTACAGCGGCCCAGCTCACGCTGGCTACAACGGCCCAGCTCACGCTAGCTACACCGGCCCAGCTCGCGCTAATTACAACGGCCCAGCTCGCGCTAGTTACAGCGGCCCAGCTCCCGCTAGTTACAGCAGCCCAACTCGCGTTAGTTACAGCGTCCCAGCTCCCGCTAGCTACAGGGGTCCAGCTCCCTCTAGACACAGAGGCCCAGCCCCCGCTGGTTATAGCGGCCCAGCTCACGCTAGCTACAGTGGCCCAGCTCCCGCAAGCTACAGCGGCCCAGCTCACGCTAGCTACAGCGGCCCAGCTTCCGCTAGCCACAGCGGCCCAGCTCCCCCTAGTTACAGCGGCCCAACTGCCGCTAGTTACAATAGCCCGGCTCATTCTAGCTACAGGGCCTCAGCTTCCACTGCCTTTAAGCGCGGACGTCCTGCTAGCTACAGTACCCCGGCTCCTGCCAGACACAGCACCTTGGCTCTCGCCAGGCACAGCGACCCGGCTCCTGCTGGCTACCAGGCGCCAGTTGCCGTCCGCGTGAGGTCTCGGGGTCACGCAAGTTACAGCACCCCAACTCCTGCCAGACACTTCACCTCGGCTTCCGCCGGGCACAGCACACCGTCTTCGGCCAGGCACAGCAACCCGACTCCGGTCAGCTACAGCACCCCAGCTCCGGCTAGACACAGCACATTGGCTCCAGCCAGACACAGCACACCATCTCAGGCCAGGCACAGCAGCCTGGCTCCGGCCAGCTATAGCACCCCAGCTCCCGCCAGACACAACTCATTGGCTCCGTCCAGACACAGCACATCGGCTCCGTCCAGACACAGCACCTCGGCTTCCACCAGCTACAGCAGCACAGCACCGTCCAGCTACAGCACTCCAACTCCGGCCAACTACAGCACCACAGCTCCCGCTCCACACAGCACACCGGTTCCGGTCAGGCATTACAGCACCACGGCTCCCACCTCCTACCACGTCCCATCAACTGAGAGCTATGCTGGCTCCGGTAGCAATGAGGCTCAGGCTTCTGATGTCTATGGTGCTTCTACTCACATCTGGTAGCTTTGGCATCAACACGTTGATCTGTTTTCCTGCGTGTCCTCTTGCTTGTTTTGTACATTAGTTAAAGGTAAGTGAGCTAAAGCGAAATATATTTTTAGCCTTGACAGACATTATGTGAAAACCGGCCTGACTGATAAGCCAATAACACTAGCCCCGACCAGCATGGGTGTGAGGAGGAAGGCGCCGCCGAATGGGATGGTTTTCAGCTGCCATCGTGTGGATGATGCCGAAAAACAAGGCAATGCAGCCAGACATCTCTGGCAAAGCACCGGATGGGACGGACGGAGAAGACCAGAAAGTCCACCCAAGGAAGGGTATGGGTGCACATGGTTGCGACATGAAATACTTCTCTCACACAATTGGCCAATATAATGGCACAGCTTTTTAGCCATTTTTAATGGCTGGTAGCATGCTAACTTTAACTGCTAACTTGCACGTACCAAATCTGATCTGCCTACAAGCAACAAACATGTCCGCAAGCAATTGTCAGCGAATGTCTGGCTGTACCATGCATAGGAAGGGTCTTATCCTTGATACAACAGCGCACGGTGGTGTGGCGCTCGCGGTGCAGCACGGCCTCCCAAACACAGCGGTCCCTTTAGACGTCGATGTGCGGGCAGTGGTCGTATCCGTTGACCTTGGCGCAATAAGAACCACCATAAGCTCTATCTCCGTCACTAGAGCAGATATGCGTGCCGGCATTTCAAAGGTTCGTTGATCAGTTGACGTGTCCGTGTCCGTTCTTCTTGGAGACATCAATGCGGGCTTCGTGGCACGGTACAAATGGCACGCTTATAACAGGAGAGGATGGCTGGAGAGCTTCCTAAAGAATAACAGGCCAGATCTTTTGAACATTCGAGATATGAGCCAAAAAGCGTGGGGTAGGTAGAAGCCGCGGGAGAATGTCACTGCTACGTCGGTAACACAGGCTGTTAGTTGCGTAATACATCTCAGCCTGTCACGCGGCCGTGCACAAAACATTGGGCACACGACGGCGTATGACAGTGCCGCGGTGGGCTGATGATCGTCAACTGGCTGTTCAGGACAAGGTGGTTCGCGGCTTGTAAAGGATCATGCATGGCAGACAAAGGTGGTTGTACTTCTGAAAAGCCCGAAGCGATGCGCGATGCATCTGCTGTTGGAGCGATCCTGCACCGTGGCAGTCTCACGGGGTATTAGCCAGTTAATTCCCTGGATAGGCGTATTGAGCCGAGGTTACTTAATGGTTCGGTGGGTCTGTTCCATCACCTGGTTCAGTCCGTTGACTGCTACCAAGCATTCAGCAAGGAGTCAACTCAAGCGGCTGGTGACAGAAGCCGAGCTTTGGTTGATGGGTGTCGACTGAGAGACCGAAGGCTTCCCGATTGTGAAACGGGCCCGGGAGGATTTCCGCTGCCATTTCCGGATAACCGCCGCCAGTTCTCAGCTCGCAGGCAATAAAAAGTGGCTTCAAAAAACCTAGGGTCTTAGGCAGATAATGATGGCAAAGGGCTGGCCTTGGCACACTTCTAGGACGTAGTAATAAGGATTTGTATTATTATCTCTATATCTATATCTATATATCTATATATATATATATATATATGTATATCTCTCTCCCTCTCTCCATCTCTATAGCTATATCTATATGTACATATATATATAATATATATATATATATATATATATATATATACATATATATATAAGTGCTATCGTTCCAGTCTCAGGGGTTCTTCAGCGCCGCTTGAACGTGATGTAACTACGCTTATTTACGGTTTTGCGGTGTTTGATATGCACCCAGCTGTGTGGGGTCAAGCTGTTTTTGGGCTTACCCCAGTTCCCTTGACAGACGACGGTCTCGCTTCAAATGGGCTACTATACCGGGACTTCAGCAGCTTTTGTAGCATAGGAATATGAGCCCTCCGATATTTCCTGTAGCATGATTTTTGAGCTAAGATATCACGCACTGGCAGAGTTGTGTGAGTCTCATCGCGTATCGCTTTGCAGCGGCAATTTTCTGAACGGATGTTTTAACATAGCCGATTGTGGAGCTTAGAATAACGAAGAGCTTAGAATAGAAGAGAAGAGCTTAGAATAACGTGATGCATGACGACTATTTTACGGCGCGACGGAACGGTGCTGCTCCGTCTCCCGGCAGTCTCGTGCGTGCGTTCATATCAAAAGGATGTCTGCACTCGTGACTGGCAGCCGCATTTCACGGCCTCCGGCAGATCGTGATCTCGCACTCGTGTCTCGACAAGGACGGGTCGGAGCGACCCCGGGGTGGAACGAAGAGAGACGCCATGTGAAATGGTACGGTCGCACGTATCACGTGTGACGTGCTCAAAGATGGCATGCTATCTTCCACGGGTTTACACGTTTTGTGCTACATGTCGGCACCCGGGACACGGACACACTCGGGAGTGGCACGCCTCGATGAGGAATGGAGCGGGCAAGATGGTGATGATTCGTCACACGCGTCATATGTCATGGCGCCCACGTGCTGAAATATGGATTTGGCTATTTTCGACGGGTTTACACCTTTTGCGATGTCGCGGCACCCATGACATGAAGCGACCCGGGAGTCGCACGTTTCGATAGCGCATCAATTGTAAGAGTGTGTCCTTCCAAACGGTTTGGCCCCATGCACTTCGTGCCACCCCCACACGTGCTGGCGATATGGATTTTTGAGCTTACGCCCATTTTCACGTTTTGCACCATTTCTCGGCACTTTCGTTACGAAGCCATTCGGGAGTGGCATGTGTACAATAGTGAATCCAACGGGCCATTGGGCGGTGCCAAGTTTTCAATCATACGGCCCACGTGTCGCGCCTTCACGAGCTGGCAAGGTGGATTTCGCCGTTTTCAACGGTGCTCACGTTTTTTGCCACATCTCGGCGACACAGGAATAGTACACATTGATAGAGACTGTAACTGGAAGTCGTCTGCGGAGAACATGAGGTTACACGTGTTACGTGTCATGTGTAGCCGCGCTGGAAAACGGATTTTGCGTTTTGACGGGTGTACACGTGATATCTTTGCACCCAGGGAACGAAGCGAGCAGCGATTGGCATGCTTCGACGGGCAGTCTAACGAGTAATCACGTGGTTTAACTTGCAATGATCGTTATGATCATTGCATGTTAACCGCAATGATCATATTAATCAATCGCAATGCAAATGATCGCAATCATCGTTACTCTTACGTTTTGTGCTTCACGCGCGCACCAGCTGTGAAGATGCAGCTTTCCGATTTCGTCGATTTTGCGTTTTACGCCACATCTCCGCACCCAGGGTACGAAACGACGCGGGACTGGCATACTACGATCAGAAACTAAACGGACAGTCGTGTGTTTTCAGTTGTGCGTGCGCACGGGTCACGTGTCACACCCACACGCTCTCTCCTGCAAAAGGCATTATTTAACTTAACATGGCATGGCAGCGTCCTGAAAGAGACTGGGCGCACGCAGGAAATATGCAGTGAATCGCTGAAATTATCGCCGAGTCGATGTATTTGTTGTGGACTCACCTTTCCTGGGTTGATGACTTGGTGAAGGAGAGGGAAATGCCGAAAATATTTAAAACGTTAAGACGCAAAGAATCCCTACCCCACCCGTCTTTTCATGCCATGTTCCTCTGTTCCACTAAGGGAAGCTCGCCCCTCCGTGTTGATGTTTCGTTGCCTGCGCACGTGCCGGCTGGAAGCCACTACGCGCGTGTTCCTTATCGTGTAACGGCAACCTGGAACCGCACGCCCCCGACCGCCACTGTGTCTTCATCTGTGAGGAAGTGAAAACTCGCGTTTTAAGACGCAAATGCTGGACATACTCCCAGGTTTTAAACCCATGTTGGTGATCTATGTTATACGCCCATAGGCGGGTTAGTATGTAATCTTCGCAGATTAATCACCCTATGCGCTTGCAATTTGTCTTCATTTCTTATTTTAGTCATGATTTGGGTTTGGTGCACGCTGATGTGTCAAAACTTCAGGTTTATGAGAGCTATCGCTTTATTTCTTTCGTATTCTATCGTATCTGATGTCATTGTGTTGTAACGAGCCACACATACCAAACGTTGCAACCAACCAAAGACCTGAAAAGACACCTCGTGGATGGACTTGGTGTAAACACTGTTATAAATACTTCGGATGATATCTTAGAGGATGATGATACTCCACATATCAAAATCTAACTTTCTGTCCATGCAGATTAACGGCTTTTTCCACGTGTTGTGTTTCTGGCGTTCATTGGAATGCAGATCTAGATTTTCATAATGACGCAGAGGTCTTTGTTTCTAGGCTAGATCTCAGCTCACCTCTTGCATGATACTTCTGGACCGGATCAGTCCTACGTTTGGTGGCTGGTGAGTGCATCTGTCAGGTTATTCTGTTTGCACTATTATTGTATTGCTGGCGGTATCCAATGATTGTTGGCGACCCATTCACAATATTTATGGAGGTCCTCCCAAGTTAGGGAGGGCATGTCTGTTTTT